ATATTAATAACAATAAAAACTGAAAAAACAGACCGACAGACAGACAGACAGACAGACAGACAGACAGACAGATAGATAGATGGACAGATAGATAGATAGATAGATAGATAGATAGATAGACAGATAGATAGATAGATTGATAGATATATAGATAGATAGATAGATTGATAGATAGATAGATAGATAGATAGATAGATAGATAGTTAGATAGATAGATAGATAGAAAGATAGATAGACTGATAGATAGATAGATAGATAGATTTCGTCATCACCAAGTATCAGATTTGCAACATACATCGCCGATCATGGTTTGTCATTCATTTCTATGCTCGTAAGCTCTAAACAAATGTACCGACAGGACTGTCAAAAACAAACAAACAAACAAACAAACCAACCAACAAACAAAAACAAACGAATAAACACACAGACGAACGAACGGGCAAACAAACAGATGTATGAACAAACAAACAAATAGATGAACGAACAGAAGGACAAACAAAAAAATGAACGAACGAATAAACAAACAAACAAGCAGACAAACAAACAAGGCTTACTTACTTCGGAAGCTTTCATGATGGCGACAATACCAAGTGGCCAGAAACAGCATAAGGTGACGAAGATAGCCAGGCCCATACGGTCCGGCACTTGCTGAATCACCGGCTGAGTGACCACAGCAGGCTGGTGAGTGACCACTGCCGTATTGTTCGTGCTCTGCATGGCCTGCTGAGGAGTGTCCACAATGGTTACTACACACGTGAGTTATAGGTTACCGTGAGTGGACACTGAAGAAAAATCCATCACACTCCTCTTTGAAATGGAAACATATTTGGTCGCTTTTAAGCACAAGGAGGCTACCTCGAAAAATGCTGTTTTGAGAAAATCGAAGGTAAAGTTTATGCTCCTTGTTGAGTTTCTTTCAAAGACAAGGCGAATTTTCTCTAGAACGAAACAAATATGCACACCGATTAAACCAAACTTCTATACGTTGGGCAATGCCCACTTTTGGTGTAGATCAAGATTTCTGGAAAATCCCGAAATCTGGGTTAGCCCACTTGTCCTTTAAAGCGACCATTTATAGGCTACCAAGAGTGGACACTGAAGAAAAGTCCATCACACCCCTCTTTGAAATGGGAACATAATATTTTAGAGGTGGCCAGATTTTCTTTGTTGGTGTGGCAAAAACTACCGTGATTTTTACACAAATTGATCAAATCCTGCATCTACAGGTCCTAGAATTTAAGTACATCGTAAGTATATTCACAGAAGATGGGCGACTGAACAGAGAAATTGAAACACGAGTACAAAAGCCAATAATGTTAGCTACCAGCTTACTCCACTACTGAAACATCCTAACATCCCCACGACAACAAAACTCAAAATGATCAACACCATATTCATCCCAACACTCGCCTATCAATGCCAAACATGGACAACGAACAAAACATTAGAGCAAACAATTATAACATGTGAAATGCAATGTCTTAGAAAAGCAGCGAACAAGACCAGGCGAGACAAAATTATAAACTCTGTAATCCGAGAAATGGTGGGCACAAATGAAGTCATGCATCACATCCAACTCCAAAGAATCAAATGGTTCGGACATCTCCTATGATTACCAACGCACTGTCCAGCACAATGTGCCTTCATAAAAAAAATCGATGGCAACAAGGCTAGAGGGTGACCGAGAAAGATCTGGATAGATGGAGTCAGGGAAATATTAACCACCCATGGCATCCCCCTGACCCAAGCTCTCCGGTTGGCGACAAGGAGACGTCTCTTTCTTCCTGCGACACCCAAAAGGGTATAAGCGGCGGATAAAAGTAAAGTAAAGTAAAGATCAAATCCTAAAAAAATCAATCACATCTAATTTTTTTCCTGGGTCATTTTCATGATTATTGAGCCCAAAAGCCAATCATCAAGCTACTTGCAGTCACATGACATTTCCTGGTCAGATTTATTTGCACATGCGAAGCAATAGACAATAATGGACTACCAGGTGGAATTTGAGGGACCAAAGTAGAGATCTATTAGATATAGCGTAAACTGGCCAGAGCAATGGGAATGGGATACCTAATTGGATCTAATCACGGAGACCACACGTTCAGTTGACCATCTACCATTGAGGACTTAGAAACAGTTATCTTGTTTCGGCAAGTCAAACCTAATCGTTTCCCTGGGGAACAAGAGTGGCCCATCTCCACTTTCGAAGAAAGATTAAAACTTTAATCACGTCTCATTACCGTGAAAGAAAGCTTGTTCATATCTCTGAGTTGTCGGAAGGCCTATGTGTAACTCTCAGGCGATAATATTTGAAGTTGGGGCCGAAATATAGTTCTGTTTTCATTCTTAGAAAACGGAAAATTGCTTTTAAAAACTCAAAAAACAACAACAAATAAACCAAAATAAAACAAAACTGCCCAATGTGGAATTGGACCACAGTTATTCTTTTTGGAACAATTAATTAGACAATTTTCAAAACACCTTCATTGCTTCAAATTCAACTGAAGGTCATTTTCATGGGTAGAGTTAAGCTTCTGAGGAGCGCACAGACCTAAACCGCTGTCTTTTGAGTGATTTCAAATCGTTGGCCTGGAATGTTTTTTTTGCAGAATGGTCAACTGGTAAATGGTTATGATCTTGGGCAATTTTTTGTATCCGTCTACTACCAGAAAAAGGGAAATTCGTAAATATTTCTATGGTTACCTTCGTTCTGTTTCATTTGAAAAAGT